AAATGTGTGCCGTGTGCAAGTTTTAGCACATAAACTCAATTCTCCATTTTTTCCCCATATCGTTTAGAACCATCATTTATTTGTAGCCATACAGCGTTTTTGTCATCACTTCAACAGTTAGACGAGATTATTTCGTAATTACTTCTGTGACAATTTCTGTAGCGATACTTCACTGACACCACGGTTACTCTTTTTCAGTAACCATGCTGACACACATAGGCAAGATAGACCCCAAACGCACACACAACTTCACCAACACGTACAGGCAGGTCCACCCCCTTCACCACTACACATCGGCGAGATATATCCTCTAATACATCATCCCATAGAACACGCTCTATATCGGCGAAGGGCTTCTGTGACATAAATGCATGTAGTATACGCCACTCACAACTCCAATATTATTTGGTTTCCATGCATGTTTTATCTATATGAAACGAATAGAAATAGCTATTTCAACTTTTATATTGATTGATTGAATTTGTTGGAAGGTGTGGGTGCCCACTTCACGGCTTGACCTCCGGTCAATACTTCGTATCGATTAACAATCACCGAACAATAGTATCTTATCAGAGCACAATGATCAGTCAGAATGAAAGATATACACGATAACATATTATCAACGGGACTATGCCAAATCTGGCATAAGCTATCCTTTGATTGATCTTTATTATCATTTGTTTGTTGGTTATGGCTAATAATAGATACTGACCAGTATCTGAAGTTAAGAAGGTCATTTCAACAAGGTAATTTTGTGTTGATAATTCGTGAAGAGCGAGTCATCAGCGGGGTCGTTAGCGTGGTTGATTTACACAAGTGTTTCACGATAGCTTAGCGGCCTGACCCGATCAGCCACATATGGTACTGTCACATATGGTACATTTGTTTTAATTTTGAAGAGAAAATTACAAATGTTTGGACAAATATGTATATTTACGAAAATAAGAAGTTTGTATATATTTATCAGTACATCAATAAAATCTTTAAAACGGCATAAACTTGAGACCCATGTCATTTCCGAGATTCCTAAAAATAAATCGCGCATATTATTATTATTATTATTATTATTATTATTATTATTATTATTATTATTATTATTATTATTATTATTATTATTATTATTATTATTATTATTATATTCATAGTCAACACATTAAATATTTTACATTGAACAGTCCAAGACATCAATAAGGTTATACAAATCTTTAAGTGAAATATTAATTTCGGAAGAAATATAAATTAATATTCAATTGCAGCGCACAGTTTTCCTAATCTCATGCGATGAACAAAACAAGTAGGAGGAAAGCGTTGTTTTATATCCTTGATTGTTTTGATAATAGTCTCTCATATATCAAGTTTTTTCTTCACCCCCTATACCTACAATTTGAAATTGCGATTTGAGAACATTATCCACCAAGTCATTTCCGTAAAAAAATGTTCTAGTCTTTAAAAATATTTATGTATTATGCAACGAGTCTACGTATTTTGTTAAAAGGAAGACTGATACATCACACGTTCACAATGAGGAATTTCTTATTGACAAAAATATTTATCGAGTTTGGAGAAAAGAATTGTTATTGCAAAGGAATATATTGCGCTCTCTCGCTGCTTCATAATAGCGAGTGCAAACTGCGATCAGGATGTGATCAATCTTTTCGAAATACATGGCATTGACACTTGTATGTTTTAATGCCCTTTCTATGCATCCTTTTTTTGCTTTATCGTGCATGAACTTGTCAGTTAAAGCAGGGGACTCGTCACCTGCGCATGCGCCAGACGGCCATAGCGTGTCATTGTTTACAAACAAGCGTCTACTCATGAGCCTTTGCTTGGGACTCAATTCCCGCGCGTGCGCAGGTGTCGACTCTCCCGCTTTAAAGGTGTTGTTTTGCACATGTGGATTGTTTGCCAGTCGTTTGTTGTGTATAGTATTGCTTCCACTGGAAACACATGGTGCTTTCTTGCTGCTTCATCACGGCGGGTGACACAAGTTATAAGGATGTGATCACTCATTTCGAAATACATAACATTGGCACTTGTATGCTTTCATGTTCTTTCTATGAATCCTTTTCTTGCTGTATTGGGTATTAACTTGTCAGTAAAATGTGTTGTTTTGCACATGTGGATTGTTTGTCAGTCGTTTGTTGAGTACGTGTGAATTGTCAGTCATTTGTGTTTTGTGTTCTTGGACTTGGATTTTCTTTCACCTGAATTAATTTGGATATCGTATCTGGTATGAGGTAATTTCCACTAAACAATCATTTTCTTGTCTTTCTCGAGAACCACTACTATTGGATCAGATGAAATTAAAATGAAATTGAGAATATGAAAGTTATATTAAAGTTCACGAGTCGGCAACCATGCCTATATATTTTTGTGAACTGGACATTTAACAATATTTGGTACGTACCTGAATGTCGATGCCTGATAATCTTTATAATGGCTACGACGTAATTACCATATTACATTGCCAGTCACAACGAAGAGGGGCGGGGCCTGGTCCCGGGGGGGGGGGGCTACTTGCATAGAAGTGCAATACGGGTATGTGCCGCCCGACTGGGGTGTCATTTCACGTTATTTTGTTTAGAAGTGGGTGGTCATTTATCGATGGTTTTGTTTAGAAGCGTGTAGCATTTATCTACTTTTTCACAGGTCCTTATATTCAAAGCCAAATACCGGAAAAGGCTGAATAAAATGCATCGCCCGGATGCGCTCACTGGTTGCAAAAGTTGTGAGCTGCGTGGGTGTTTTTTTTTCCCTGCAAACACTTGTGTTTAGAAGTGGGTATATAAATAGAAAAAAAATGGTTTAGAAGTGAGTATGGTTTACGAGAGGTGGGCTACACACCCTTACCCACTTAATGTGGAAGTAGCCCCCCCCCGGGGGGGCCTAATCCCTGCCTGATCGGACTCCCGAAACCACCCCTCTTCATTTATTATTATTAATTTAAAACGTGTAAATAACTAGTAGTGTTGAGGAATCTTCAAATTTAGCTAAAATATCACAGCCTGAATTATTAGACATTCTACAAATTCATGTTCAATATTGAACATTAAAGGTCTTTAAAGTGCGCCGCCAAAGTCGTGGCACATACATTGTATGTCCATGCTTTGTATAGGCTAGTACGTCGCATGGGGCCCCAAATCGAACGCGGCGCATCGCTACGACCGTGAAGGTTTGAATACGATTTATTTATTTTATTTTGAGACGTGCCAACATAGTTTTGCTAATTTGTGGCACTTTTATGTAAAAGGTGGCGGTCGGTATTACCAGGTTTTTGCACACGTGGTATCAATGTCCGAGTACGTTATACGGAGGGCAATTTTATACAGGCTCGTTCGCATACTAATACACCCAAGCTTGATATTTTGTGCATATTCACTGGGTTTTAAATTTACGAACGTGCCAGTGAAACAATGAGTTCTATTATTTTTTTTACATGTTCCGGTGTATTTAACCTATTAGCGAAAATAGCGAAATTAAGACCATGCGACTTATTCTTAGAAGTACACCACCTCTTTCCACTCATGCTATGTATAAACCGCTTAAATCGTTTAAGCCATATTTACAAGGCAACCCATTACTTAACCCCAGCTTACATTAGTAGTACGCTCCAGAGCTATATTCCGTCTCGGGTTTTTCGTTTTTCCAATTAAAAACTATTAAAAGTACCGAGGATCGGAACTATGCTAAGAAACGACTTGCGATTGTCTTCATTTGATCTTGAAAGTTTTCACAGCCCGCTACTGGTGGCTGGTGCGTACCGACTGATTTCAGGTCAACCCACCGAAGTGTACGTTGTTTATTTCACTAAATTGTCATTTGATCGATACAATAGAATACAATAAAATCGAGTTCAAATAAATAACATAAAACAATTATCAGATTCAATAAAATCAAAACTATGCATCTTCATTCTGGAATGATCAACGAAATAAATCAAGCGTTAAAAATGGGGAGGGAAATAAGCTAAGAACGTACAAGGTATTCAAAAAAGATTTTGTATTTAGACAACATCATTGATTTCAATTAGTACTAAATCTACGGAAAATGTTATCAAGATTTCGACTAAGTGATCACACTCTAGAAATATAATTAGGTTGCGGAAAAAATGATGTGATAGAGGCTGAGATGCATTTCATTCTGGAATGTACATGTTTTAAAATTGAAAGACAATCTTTATTTCTAGAGTGTAACATTACTAATAAAAACGCAGGCAAGCAAAAATGGAGATGTTTTTCTTAAAATAATGAAGCATGACCTTGCCCTCTCCAAATTGTTCCGCACTTGCACCTTTGTTGCGCGAAAATATTATGCCCCCTCCGCCAACGGCGCTCCCGCTACAGCGTAATTATGCATGTCAAATATAGTACAAATTTGAGTAAGTAAGTGTAAAATGTTTAATTTGAATTCGTTGAAATACAAGTTTTACCATTTACAGAAAAAAATAAAATAAAAATAACGGTTCTCTTCACTACGTCAATTTGTGTCGTTATCGACACATTTTCTCGCTGTATAAACCCACTAAACTGCGTCCGAATGAACAATATACAAACCCTCGATTTCTATACGCCCTTGTGTGGGCCCTTTGTCCTTGAACTCAAATATACTTGATGTATTCGCTATTTTTTTTCGCGGGAAATGCTTTTGCTTGATAACATGGTTCAATAACCAAGTAGTTTCCGTTTTAGTACCCCCTCGGGCATGCTTTCTACCGAATATACAATGTGCCCTCTATATTGGGAAAGAAGAGAGATATTCTTCTTACTAATAAAATATAAATAAAACATTAAAAATTGCGTTTATCCGGTTCGGAAAAAATACTATTGGATAAATTTATTAGCATTTTGATTGGTTTCCGTTGAGGTACTAACAATAAACGGAAGAGCCAAACAGTCATCTAGTGCCACTTTGTTTACGCGGATGCATACACATTTCTGCAGTATGTGATTACGCTGGTAGTATTACTCCACGTATCGCACTGAACAGCAATTCGATGTGAAGTTTTTTTTTATCTGCAAAACTTACTCCAATGTTCGGTTATTTATGGCGAACCAACCTTCAGACCTCGGATCGTGGATGATATTCCTTTTCTCTATACTGCTATACTCAGGTAGGTTGCTCTGTGATCGCGATTTTCGCCGGTTTCAGTACGTATTTAATACGGAATGTCTGCGCTTGCATTTCAGGTCCTATTAAAACATGATGGCGAAAATTGGCCTCGTTCGAGTTCGGCTCTTGTTTACAGATGTTCGCTGTGACATTGGGCACGGTTTCAGCTCGAACGTGTTATTATTGACGCGGTATCTTAGCCGATCTCGGCTTATTGCCAATGGAAACCCCTTCATGTGTTAATGGGTATAATGCTTCGAACCGCCGTTAAAATTTAAGGCAACTTGTATGGCCGCGATGTTGTCCTGCAATCTCAAGTTCAGGGGGCGTACTGGCAATCGGGCCGAAGCTGGCATTGAAACGTTTGATTGGACTACTCCCTGAAACTGAAACAACGCGCTGCTATTGTCTTGAACTTTTTCATTCTCTGCAAATAACGGAATGTTACTACAATTTTTTAGTAGTAGGTGATCGTTCTGTTAGTGCATGTCATTCATTTGCGGTGACCGGCCGCCATGAAATAAACAACACTCGATACAACGTGAACCGTCGTTGGTTGATCGTATTCGCCGCACAGTCGGGTGCGCATCGTTTCGCACATTGCACATCTCAGATAGGTGTACTAGTTTAACGAAAACGAAATCAGTTATGGTACACTCGTCGAAAGACTCTGCTTCAAAAACAAAACAAAACAAAAACAAACCCAAAACACGCTCGATGGTGTGATTAATAGCGGCTTGTTTGACCCTTAACAAATGCTCCCACCTCCCCTTTGAACCATTGACATGGAGACGAAGCGAATACTCGTAAGCGTGGGTACAGTTTCTAACACTGATCACCATTCTTTGGATCACAATAAATCGTGAACTTGCATCCACTATACATTATGGAATACAGGTTACAACTGGAATTGTATTTTGCGATAGAGTGTGTACATCAGTCTGTCCGCTACTACCGTGTTAATGACACTCAACTTGCACTGCAAGTAGGTTACATGAGTCACGTACACACAGTTTTTTTGGACAAGACAACCACCATGGCAATTATGGAAGCCCAGACTTCCCACTTGATCTTTTACTTGTTCTTATTGTCGTTTTAAACCCTATTCGATTTACCTTGGCGTTGCTTTCTCTTTTTTTTGCCGATCGATCGGGTACATTGTTTGCTTTTTGAAAATGAAACTGTTTACACATTCCGTGTGCAAATCTCACAATACTTCGCTTATTGTCATTTAAACTTTTTTTTTTATTTACTATTTTGGTAACCTCTCCTGCATGTTTGGTTTCAGTTGTTTTATTAAAATCTGCTCACTTTATTGTTTTAGGTTTGTCCTCCACAGAAGAGTTGAGATTTACAGTAGAGCCTAAGAATGTGATTGTTGTAAAAGATCGCCCATTTATATGGGACTGTCAAGCTGAAGGGGAGGCGCCAATAAATATAACTTGGAAAAAAAACGGGCAGATAATTGAAAACAATGAACGTCACAATGTTCTCAGGAATGGATCACTTTTTTTTGTGCGGATTGAGCGCAAGAAAACAAAAATAACTGACGAAGGACAGTATGAATGTGTTGCAAGAAATGGAGATGGGGCCATCACCGCCATAGCTGACTTGCAAGTGGCTAGTGAGTACTATTCACACTTTTTTGTTTGTTTGTTTATTTTCCTCAAAAGAGAAACCATGTCATCACCACTGCTTGGCAGTTATATGTAAATTAGGAAAGTAAACTGATTTGTAATCATTAATGTGAAGAACAGGAAACTTAGGCGCATAACTATAGACAACAGCATGTGTTCTGTCCATTTTTCTCCTGCATAATTAAAATTTATAATTGGATTACCTTGGTTGAACAAAAGTCAGCACAACTGTAGTTGTGTTCACGTGTGCCGATAAATGGGGGGAGTTCGGGTAATTTGTCAATATTCAGTGGGCTAAACCTGTATTCTGTTCATATGTTGCAGAGATTTATATTTTAACTTTCATTTATTTAGGCACGTTACATATTACACATAATATAAACAAAAATGGCTGACCAAAACACTGTACCTCATGTTTCTGTTGGTTCTTTTTACAATGTACGTTTGAGATGGTTTAATGTTTAGAAAGATTATCATTGTGTCCATTATCACTTTTTAGTCGAGTGGATTCAGAATTTGAATTAGAAATAAACTGTCCAAATGAGACGGCCATTTCTCTCATGTTGCAGCATAAATCTTGTGACAATTCGTCCGTCAAAGTCAAAATGCTCTGGTTCAAATGCAAATTAATAATATTGTTTTTTTGTTGTTGACCAAGTATTGCCGTGCTCACTGTTTGCTTGCACGTTGTCTGCAAGCTTGGAGTATATTCAGCTAATAGCATTTGGTGCACTGTTAGAAGGTGACCGTGTGTTTTTCAACAGTGGGTTAAAGGAACTCTGGGTCCAGTTCTGTGAACACCCTATGTAGCTAAAAGGAAGCAAATTTTGTCTTTTGATTTGAAGTTCACCGACCCTAACTTTAATTTCCTGTTTTTTACTTGTCTTCATTAGCACTCTCATCATAGTAAACATTAATGAATGATGTCCAAACAATATTTTTTGTCATCGGTTATGTCAAATATAATAATAACATAAAAACCTTAGTTTCATCATAGTACATGTAGTGTGGTACTACAAACTATGTACATTCTAGTTAAAGAACTGTTCCATTGTTGACCTATCTAGTAGTCACTAATACAAAATAAATTAACATAACCCTGTTAAAATTTTAAAAACAAAATGTGTCATTTTTTTTAGATGACCCTATTTATGTGACTGACAGAAAATTCTTGATAAACAGGAGTTATAAAGAACTACCCTGATACTGCAATAAAAGAAATGCCTCGGTTTTCCATCCTTCTTTCCAGTCTAGGATACGATCACTATATACTTTCTTTTTATCCTAAAACCACACAATAGAGGAACTTCTGGGTGATGAAATTGTCAAATGGCTGGTCATTTTTTTGTTGTTTATTTAAATTATATCCTACCTGAAAATTGAAAGTTATTTTCATTTGTGATGAGTGTAGTTGTTTGTTATTAATTACATTTAAAATTTTAATTAATGAATTGACTACCAGGTGTTGACATGGTGTACATTAATTACTTGGAAAGATGGACATGCTTCCGTTTGTATTGAGTGAGTCTGTCAAATGAGTTTGTGCTTACAAGATTTGACAAGCCAAGTAGAATTACGGTAGACATAAGTTTCTGTGAAAAGTTTTTCAAGACAAAAGTTACAATGATTTTGTCACATCAGTTGAAACCCTACAAATATCTGTCATTGTGAATTTACTTTCTGGTGATTTTACAAGATTTAAAATTAACAAAAATGATTTCATGATTTTTTTCCTGACTCTCAATATTAAAGTGGGTTACTTTGAAAATGAACAACAGAAGTCATCAGGTCTTTTGTTTTGTCTTTTGTCAACATTATTTGATGGTGGACGATTATTTTGTTTTCTCTTGCTTTTGATCTGCACCAGCTGGGTAGAGCTGATACTGGAATATATTAGCGAATATCGTTGTAAACGTCACTATTTCTACCTTGTTTTTAAATCAAACAGTCATTTAATTTAAATTTGTATGCATTATGGATTTACTGGGCAAGGTAGTGAAATTCAGTAGTTGTTATCATTGTATACTCATGTTATCTCCAATATTTGTCCAAATGATCCGGATTCTCTCTGAATGGACTGGGTGTCTATAGCCTATATAATCAAAACTGAATATATATATAATTGAATTTTCATAAAATTATGTCAAGTCACAGGCCTTGAATTTCATTATCCTGAGGACATCCAATTTCAAGGGCAAAAGTTTTTAAAATTTTGAAAGAAATATTTGAAGTTCATGGATGTATTTAGATGTGGCAATCTAGGCAACCGTCTCCATGGTGTTTTTTGAATCTGGAACTTGTGCATCTGTTGCAAATATCATTAAAATAACATAACATGATATACCATTTTCTGTTCATTGTGAAATTCGGTGTTCTGTGAGAATTCGTAAAAACCAGTCAAACAAAGGTCATAATAGCATAGTGGTGTCAACATATTGCATGAGATTTAGAAATATTTTTTTTTTGGTATTTCCACGTTTAAAATTGTGCTATATACACATTTGAAGGCCAATTTTGATGAAGTTGGGGTATCTCAATGCTATATTTCCAACTGAATATTCAAGTTCAAAATCAGATCGTTTGATTTTTGTGGCAGAGGTTCGATCTGCACCTTTCATGTATTATGCAAGATTTTGCACTGAACGAAAAATCGTCTATTGGATATACATATCAATGGCAAATGTTTTGTTTTTTATGATTTAATGCACTTTTTAATAACAAAAATATATAAATTGATAGCTTGACATTTTCTCTACCAGTTCCTTCTTTTCATCATAATTCACAAGATAGTTCCGTTTACGGTCTACATTTTCCTTCAAAAGATTGTGACAAAAATTGCCAAATTTTTTGAGTAAAAACTGAAAAATTACTCAAATTTTTACTTGGGTTCATTCATAGAAATATTGAAAAATATATATAAAAAAAAAGGTGCAGAAGAATTTGGGCGAGAACGTCAGGTGGTGAACAAAATATTTTTTTCATGTACTTACTTGATTCATAGGAGTCAAAACTCCTAACTATGTGATCTCTCTTCACAGCGATAAATTGGTAATTTATTGCCTTTCCCACAGACGAGATGTTGTTTGACTTCAGGAGAAACATTTTCCCCAGTCAAACATTCTCTTACACAGTTCCTCAAATTTTGGGTACTTTAAGAAATTCACAGAAACATGTATATTGTGAAACTATGTGTAAATTGGCTTAGTCAATCGTATATGATATAATCATATTGGGCATAAACCATTAAACTCTTCTATTGAATCTTAAATCAACACCAATAAATAGCTGTAGTAAAATTTATGTGTTTTCATTCATCAATGCTATCAATTTGAAGAAAACATAATAAACATAGGCTTAGAAATTTTAATTTGATTTATCATCTTTTCATCCTTTGATATTTACATGTATACATAAATTTAATCATGTCCTGATAGTGAACGTGATTGCTTTGTCACATCTTAACTATTTCACCACCAGATTTTTTAGCCCAAATTTTTTTACACTTTTTCCTTAAATTCTTTAATATTTCTGGAAATGAACCCTAATTTTAGAGCCAACAGACAAAATTTGAGTCAATTTTCAGTTTTTACTCCAAAAAAAATTAGCAATTTTTGTCCCAATACTCTGAAGGAAAGTGCAGACTATAACAGGACTATTTTGTGAATTTGTGATGAAAAAAGGGAACTGGTGGTGAAAAGGTTAAACAAACATTCTCAGAGAATATCTCATCAATTATTAAAAGTAACAACAACAAAAAACTCCCAGATCAGGGAAATGAAATTTGGTGATGGATGTAAATTTAAATTCGGCAATAAATTTGGTATATGCTTGATTGATCATTATTGGTACATACATCCAACTGGTAATGCTAATATACATTCTAGTTCTTTTCTCCTGTCTCTGCCCTACAGTGTTTAAATCAGCGTGGACATTATAATCATTTACATTTTTTTTTCAATATTTGTTCACTAATTTTAATGAATCCTAATTCAAAAATTTGATTTTAATTCCTTTTATTTTACAAAAAAAAGAGATGAATTTTTATTGAACATATCACAAACCACATGCAGAAACACAGTTACCTTACACCGGCCTTCCATGAATATATCAAGGTACAAGTTTAGTGTGCATTTAATTTTCGTGGCTTTAATTAAATCTTTTTGTGGAGTCTTAACTTTATGAATAACTTATTATACTTTTACAGGAGGTAAAATTATAATTTTAACTGTAACTAATTCCTAAGAATGATTGGTAAAATTTCTACACACTGACCAACTATAGTGAATATCACCCGTGACAAAGTGTTGTCTAAAAGTTGTGAGGGCAGTTTTCCCAATTTTAAAAATCATGCTACAGACTTTTTTTTTTTTATAAATCAGTATGTTTCATTTCATGTTGTTTTATATGATTTGAAAATGACTTTTTTTTAAGTGAGTTTTTTAATGTGATATTCATGTGATGAAATTTTTTTTTTTATTTGTTATTTTTCCGCTGTGCGGATTCCAAGCTGTAATCACAGATCCAGGAATTAACAAAAAACATGTGTGCACTAAATAGCATTGTGATTCCTTGAAAAAAATGTTGACGCCTGTATGTCGAAATAAATTATTGAGGGATGGATAGAAGAGAAATGTTATATATGCTCAGAAAATACTATTAGAAAAGTAGACCCAGTCAACACCACATATTTGAACTGTACATTTCAAGCGCGAGTCTTTAATACTCGTTGAATACCTGTCGAAACTTAAATGAATAGTGAGAATGAGAAATTCAAATGAAAGTAATCAATCTTGTTTTGTCAATTAAAAGGCATAACGTTTGTCATTTATCGGTCTCGCAGTCTTCGTCGGAAAACATCTGAAATGTGACTATTTGTAAACTGGTCCTAAGAGTACCGGTATATACGTCAACAATCGGTAATATGGGCTTAGAGAAACTTCCTATTGATGTCTTTGTACTGGTAAATACATTATGTATGTAACTATGT